TGTTTGCAGTCTAACAAAAACTTCACTAATCATAGGCGCAGGGGCTTCACGCCAAAGAAGAGGCAAAAACCAACACGAGCAGTGGTGTGACTGAAACCATGGAGAAGAGGTTAGCAACAGGCAGTCAGGGCAGGAATGAGCTGGCTGTCAGACTCCGAGTTAGAAAGACATGCTGATATTAGCACACATCTCTGACCTCACTGCTGACAAATTGAGCTTAATTAGTTCAGCTGTTTGTTCAGAAGCACCTAAATGAAAAAAGACTAAAATGGAACATTTATTTAGTATGGAATGTTATGCTGCCCATTTATTCCATTTATATGACATTTTTAACATTCATATAATAACCTAAGAGAGGTGGAACAAAACATTAGACTAAAAGTCTCTAGATCTGTTTTAGTACTAGAGATTTCTCAAATTCTGACTTTAAATAAAACTCTATACATAAAAGGAAAATAATACACTTGGAAAATCAGTTTAATGTGAACACTCTTGTATACAGCTAGTTTTTGATGTCTGCTGCCCCCTATGGATGATTTGGACACACAGTTACAGTTACATGAGTTAATGTGGCCCTCATCAAAAGACCAGTTTCTCCACCTCATGGATAAGGGCCTGTCATTTAGCGCCCCCTTTTGTCACATTTGTAATTGACAAGGCAACTAATTCATAATATTTTTTTAACTTTTTATTCATCAAAAAAATCTATTTTAGACAAATATTAATAAGCACAATTGTTTTCAACATTGATAACCATAAATGTTATCATAGCACCAAATCAGCATATACGAATGATTTCTGAAGGATCATGTGACACTGAGGAGTAATAAATGGCTGCTAAAAATTCAGCTTTGCCATTACAGGAAAAAAATGACACGGATAGTAACCATAAAATACTTTGAAACATTTAAAAATCTTACAGACCCCAAACTTTTGAATGCTAGTGTACATATAGCATGTTTCTGTTTTTAAATATCATTAAATCATCAGCTAAAGTACTTGATACAGTTACCACTATGATTCAATGAGTTCAGTGAAGGATTCATTAGACTGACTGATTCAAACCCATAACTTGAGGTGGTTCTTTTTAATAAGTCATACAAAACACCCTCATGCAAATCATTTATGTAATGTTTAAATGTGTCTTTTCTTTCATCACATTCAATTAAATTCATATTGCAGTGCAGTAAATATGTCACAAACTAATACCAATAACTATCAGCACACTGTCTAGGCAGTTTAATGTTATTAAATGCTGCCACTCATTGGCCAAAGTACAGCGAAATGATGGAACAGGGTATAATATTGGAACCAAGCTTTATGACCCCAATTCATTAAATACTTGTGAATTTAAACATTTGGAATAAGTCAAGGGACAAAAATGTATTCAAAGCAAATGCTAGTGATATCACTAAAATAATACAGTCAGAAATCACTCAATTGTTTATTGGGTGTTTCTTCAAATATAGCAACACAACTAAGGCCACTTTTCACACAAATATTTTGTTTGTCTTTTAAGCTACTTTTTAAATTATGAATTTCACATTTTAAGATAATTAAGTCTACAATGAGAGATAAGGGCAAAAAAAATCTGTACATTAGATGGATTCAAAAAATAACACACACACACAAACAAAAGTTTCCAGAAGATAGACTCACCACAGCTGGGTTGATTTGGATGTAATTAAAAACATTTTGTGTGTATATATAGATTACACACACAAACTGTTTTAATTACATAAAAATCAACCAAGCTGTGGTGTGAAAGTGCCCTTGGTTGACGAAATACCAAATTGTTAATGTAAAGTGACAGTCACTTAAGCAAAAGCCTTAAAGTCTGACGTGTTTTCAATAGAAATAAATAATAGGCTAATAATAATAATATGGTGCATTACTAATACATAAGCAGAACATCGCTCCAGGGCGCATTCTTTATGTCGTAATAATAACCCATGTCCCTTTGTTACGCAATAATCTGCACATTCATACATAATGTGATGAGTTGCAAGTGAACATTATATTTGATTCTCTGGCTACAATGCAGCCAATGAGGAACTGCATTAAATACATGACCTCGCATCAAAACCATATTCTCCAATGGGAGAATATCTGATGTTGGTTAATAACTTGGAATAAGCTTTTCAAAGGTTAAATGCATCTAGTAAATGGAGCATAAAACTAAGTAATTAGTGCTGAAACAGTTCTACTCTGCTATCATTGAATCTGTCCCCTGCACTTCTATAACTGTCTGGTTCAGCTCAGCTACCAAATCTGACCTCAGAAGACTACAGAGGGTAGTCCGGACTGCTGAGCGAATCATTGGTCCAACCCTCCCTTCTCTCCAAGAACTGTACTCTTCCAGAGTGAGCAAAAGGGCTGGCAGAATCACTCTGGACCCCTCACATCCAGCACACTCCCTCTTTGAACTGTTGCCATCTGGTCGACGCTACAGAGCTCTGAGCACCTGAACGACCAGACACAGGAATAGTTTCTTCCCTCAGGCAATCCATCTCATGAACACTTGACAATAACTGTGGAACACACAACACTATTTATACACTCATACACTTATTTATCTAACACTCATACTCAGTCTACACCTCAAATTTGCACATAATATACCTGTACATACAAAACTGTCTATTGTAATATACCTGCACATACAATTGTCAATTTATATATTTTTATTCCTTATTTACTTGTTCCATTTTTTATTTTAATTTTTTATTATCTGTGTTTTTTGTTCTGTCACTGTCATTCTGTTACACTGTGGAAGCTTCTGTCACGAAAACAAATTACTCGTATGTGTAAACATACCTGGCAATAAAGCTAATTCGGATTCAGATTCTGATTCTGACTTGCCTCTGTATTTTTTACCCTGAGGAAGGAGGGAAAACAGTCAAAACAAACAGCAACGAATCGATGACGTCCCTCGCGACAAAATAACAGACCGGGAATGACATATATATATCAGCGTGACATCTACTGCAAAATGGATGTCATATTTGAATCTGTACAAGTTGCCTACACTGTTCCCGCAAAACATTACAAGCTACGTGACAATGCCGGAAACAGGTCATTTTATGAATAAGAGTGGCAAAACACCTGTTACAGCTGCTGCAGATCAACAGCCAATAGGAAATGCTAGCTTAATTTGTATTAATAATTAAAACACCTCTTAACATGCAATCCACAGTTTACTGTAGCTACTGTACTTAAACTAATTAGGCCTAAACATAGTTGTAGCGAATCAGCTCATGGGGAAATATGAATAATTAACCATAACTAGTTATAATTAACTATTCATATTTTAGATCCACTGTAGATATTTAGCTGACCACTCAGGGTTGGTATACACAATGATCTGAAGGATATGTGTATTCAATCAAAGAAAGGTTTTCCTATGAATTAATTAGAGAACAGTCCATTTCTCTGGGCATTATGTGTCTTTCTTATGAGGAAAATGAGGGAGTTTGTCTGCCTGCATTCCTTTAGGCCATAAAACCAGTGATATCAGCATTGGTTACCATGGAACCAGAGGCCTGTTCTGCCTTTCTGAGGTGTTAGGTGCATTTCGGGGGAAGGGTCCATAGACCCTCGTAATTGGCCATTTGGTTAGGTGACGGGGAGTTCGATATTATTTGTTAAAATATAACAAAAAGTTGTGTGTCTGATTGGTCCAAATGCTACATAGTTTATGTCTCTATACTGAAGAGGACAGGGCAGGATCTGTGTAAAACATATAACAGCTTTCGCTTTACACAGTGGGGCAAATTTCAGATTTAAGTATTGACTTTCTTTTCAATTAATAAGTAAATTGGCCACAGCCCACAGGATGTTGAATTGGATTGACATGAAGTGGAATTTACAGAACTGCAAATCAAGAAATTCAACAGTCACACTACAGATTAAGTGCAACAACCAGCAATCCAATGGTTTCATATTGAAGACTTTTGGGTAAATTAGAGCATGTGTTTTTCACAACATAAAATATACACATGTGGAATTCCAAATATTGATTATTAAGTAAGAAAATGTTGAGGACTTAGCCTATCAGTTACACAGTTTTTAGTTATACAACGTTGTCTTGGACAAGAGTTGTTATTCTGAAATATTTCACTGTTGTGATTAATTAATAATGTCATCATATTTTCAGAAATACCATGTTGTGTGTATGATAAAAACAAACATGTCTACGGGTAACTGAAAATGAAATGATTTTTGAAAACTACAATTTAAAGCAGTGACATTAATTTCTTTGAATTTCATTCCATTTTCCCTAAATTCAAATAGGAAGTGCAATTCTACACCATGTTCAAACTGAATTAATTCAATTCAGAAGGGCACACAACCATGTTGTTAACAATCATGTAATGCTTTATGAATCACCTACACACTAAGAAAAAAAATTGACCGGTAAAAGCTACTGGAATATTCTGGACATTTTTCGTTAAGTGCATTTTCTTTAACCCTAAAATACAACACAATGCAAGTTGCAATACGTGTAAAACAGGAAAAAATCAACATGGACAATTCCTTATTAACACAGTAGGCCTACATTGGGCCCTATTTTTATTGACATTTCTTACAGTATATTTTACATGGAACTGAAGTCATGTTTAGTTATCTTGTGTTACTTTGCACTTGATCTGTGCTGTCTATCCTCAGATGTTTTGTCTCAAAGAGACAAGTTAGTTGATCCATGTCCATTTTCAGGCCCCAGTCAATAAAAGACCAAAGAACCAGATACAGCCTTCATCATACTCCACACACACGAATGGACTGGCAGAGTAATAGTGAAGTCACTTCACACACAGAGGGGTAAGAACTAGAAACGTCACTTCCTCTCCTGTGTCCACATTGGTACGTGGTTAAAAACAGCCAGGACGCCACGTACACATTATGCAAAGATAGGTCTTTTTAAGGAAAGTTTTCTCAGGTCGCAGATCCATCGTCATTTCAGCGTGTGTCTTTCTAAATCTGAAGGGAGCAGCATATTTTTCCTTTGAATCAAGGGGTGGAGACAGAAGTTTACAACTTGATCTGCAGAAGTTTAGAGAAGCAAACTTGTTACACAGTAAGTCGCCTACATACACGACAGCTGGCAAAGTTTTCCTCTTGCATGTTTTTCGGGGAGTTGTTGATATTTTTAGTAGTTATATTATGGGATGCATAGAGCTTTATTGAGACCATAGCTGGATTGTCTAATGCATCTCTAACCTAACGTCATGTAACTGTCGTTTAATGAGCTGCCGCCCTGTTTTCATGTCATTGTCTTCAAAGCTGGATCTGCTTCTGGCAAGTTAGGAGTAAGTACGTTTTCTCCGATTGGTAAATATGTTTTCTTCGAAAAGGTGACTCCTATATATCAAGGTGACTTTCTCACCTAACGCGTAAATGTTGTATGAAATAGTAATAGTAGTTAATTTAAGCGCAGATGATTATTTATTTCCATGGAAAGAAAATACTTTTCACACAAGTGCCACGTCAGATTCAAAAACAGCAAATGTTTATAACGGTGTTCGATTCATAAATGAATCATTTTGAGTCGTTTTAATGAATCGTTTAAAACTGTTCACAAACGGATTGAACGATTCCCGAATCCGTCGTTCTCGAGTTAACAATTCCCTCAACCGTCTTTCACATATGTGCGAAATAGTTTTTCGGGGAGTTGTTGATATTTTTAGTAGTTATATTATGGGATGCATAGAGCTTTATTGAGACCATAGCTGGATTGTCTAATGCATCTCTAACCTAACGTCATGTAACTGTCGTTTAATGAGCTGCCGCCCTGTTTTCTGGCAAGTTAGGAGTAAGTACGTTTTCTCCGATTGGTAAATATGTTTTCTTCGAAAAGGTGACTCCTATATATATCAAGGTGACTTTCTCACCTAACGCGTAAATGTTGTATGAAATAGTAATAGTAGTTAATTTAAGCGCAGATGATTATTTATTTCCATGGAAAGAAAATACTTTTCACACAAGTGCCACGTCAGATTCAAAAACAGCAAATGTTTATAACGGTGTTCGATTCATAAATGAATCATTTTGAGTCGTTTTAATGAATCGTTTAAAACTGTTCACAAACGGATTGAACGATTCCCGAATCCGTCGTTCTCGAGTTAACAATTCCCTCAACCGTCTTTCACATATGTGCGAAATAGTAGTATAGAAAGTAGAAGATATATTACAAATAAACGCTCTGGAAATATGTTTATTTTTGTTTGACATATAGTTTATTTAATAAATGTAGTTTTTGTTTTCTTCTTTTGAACCGGATCTTTTAAATGCTAAAGAATCGATTCAATGACATGAGTCTTACTAAAGTTCGCTTTAGGACAAACTTGATATTAATGATGCACTTGTTTGTTACTTCATAAAGTTGACTCAAGACCCTGATTCGTTCACTCATTGCACTCATTCAGTGATTACGTGTAACTGTACACGTACAGGTATATGCTCAATGAGCTCTATTTTATCTTTATTGTCCTTATGTCCCTTTAGCTATGACTTCAGGATAATACATTCAATTGGAATATTGCATCACAGTATTTCATATTGCATCTGCTGAAAGTTAATATTTATTTATGATTTCTTAATTTCACTCAAATAACGATTTATAATTGAATTGTAATAGTCATTTCGTCCAAATTGTTGCTTCAAACCATTTATGAACTTTGGTATGGAAGATCTTATATGCAATAATTGTATTTGTCCTTAAATGGTCCAGTCTACCTGTTCGTAACGTTGACAGGGTGTTGCAGGTTTCTTTTTGTTTACAGAGTAAACTGGTCTGCCTTGTTCTATTAATGCTTGTTGGGTTGAAGCCCATTTTTAGTCCCAACCTTTCACCTTATTTTTTGTCTTCTCCTGCCCCATTTCTTGATTCTTGGAAAACAAATTAAAATTCATTCTGTGGAAAATGAAGGAGGGTATTCTAACCGTCACATCTTGTTTGTATTTTTTTTTTATGTAGAGTTAAAATGAGTGAAACCAATCAGCAACGGGATGAGTTGCCTGCATACTTGAAGGATGATCCTCCAACAGGTAGGCCTACTGCAATTAATGCTGACATTTCATTGTGAAAGTGACTTGCAACAGTTATTCCTTTTTAGAACAATCAAGCTTTTTATCTTAGCACAGTCATGCCAAATGGATCCTTTTATACAGCTGTCCTTAGTCTTCATGCAAGAGAATGATAACACTCTGTGCCACATAGTGGTGCTCTTGCACAATCCAAGACTGACATTAGGCCACTGCTCTACTTTTTTCAGTCTTTATGATCAAACTTACTAGATTTGGCTATAAAATTGTAAATGTGGTTATGGTAGTAGGTCTTAGTATATCTGATGACACAATTTCAAATCAAGTTGCAGTTATTTTAAAGCAAAAATGACATAAGCACACTTTTCAAGATAACATTTTCACTCAATAGTGTAATTTTGAATTATATCCACAAATAAATAAAACAAATAGAGTAAATCATTCATTTTGTTTATAGAATTCTATTGTCAGATACTCATTGTTCTACACTTTGAAAGTGAAACCTTTAAAGTATGACTAAATTAAATAGTAATTCATTTTAATTACTAATTAAATGTGGCTAGTATTTCTAATTGTATGAAGGTCTTTGCCAAATATTTTTTTATTTTATTAATTGGAAGTGAACACTTTAATTGAAGTATGAAAATCTAAGTATTAATGACTTTTAATTAAAATGTGGTTAGTATTTTTATTTGTATAGAGTTCTTCACCTAATACATTTTTATTTTATTTCAATTTAAAGCTAAATCTTTACTTGATGTATAAAATTAAATGAAATAATTATTATTTTTGATTGCAAGGTTCTTCACTTCATACATTTTTGTTTTATTAATTGAAAGTGAACGCTTTCACTGAACTATGAAATTAATCTAATTAATAATTACTTTTAATTAAAATATGGCTAGCATTTTTAATTGTATAAAGTTCATCTAATAATTTTTTTTTATTGTATTTAATGAAAGCAAAAACTTTTAAGTATTAAATTAAATAATAATTACTTTTAAAATATGGCTATCATTTTTAATTTGATAGAGTTCTTCACCTTTAATTTATTTAAATTTTATTTCATTTTAGACAACTGCTCCATTATCTTATCTGTTTAATATTTTCAATATTAACATTTCATGAATATCCTGTAGATACCAACAAAGACCATCCTCAACCCCAGCCTGGCATGTTCTCCAGGGTGGCCGGTGGTCTGTTCAGTGTCACGAAGGGAGCCGTTGGGGCCACAGTGGGTGGAGTCGCCTGGGTTGGAGGGAAAAGCCTTGATCTCACGAAAACTGCTGTTACCTCAGTTGCAGCTGTTCCAGCGATGGGAGTGGGGCTCGTGAAGAGCAGTGTGTCTGCCGTGGCTGGTGGCGTGACCGCTGTCGGCTCCGCCGTCGCCAGTAAAGTTCCCATTGGTGGAAGCAAGAAGAAGGACAAGTCTGATTGAATCACGTGCCTCGAAGGTACTTTTGTCAGAGTCTGCATCATGTCTTCTTAGACTCCAGAGCGAGTTGATTGTGGAGATCATGCTTGTGTTAAGAGCATATTTGGACCTTATCCGTCTGCCTGACCAGACCAACAAGACGACATTCACAAGCTGGGTGGCCTTCATCTGCTCCACGCAAGAACCTTTGTTTTTGTGTTCTATTGGAATATGACATTAAGTCAAATTGTTTATGTATGAAGTATTAAATATCTGACTAGAGTTGGATACACGGACCTCTAAATGTTCCGTTTATGCTTCACTGAGCACACAAAGACACACACTTGTGCCTGACTGTACACACAAAGAATCACATGTTTTAAACACACCTTACAGTTGAGCCAGTTGTAGGGGTGAAGATCAATCAGGTGTCCCTTTAGGTGCTGTGGGGGGAAATCTCAGACTGTGCGGTGCTGATGGTGGTGCTCCATCCATCTGATTGATTGTTTGTGAGATTACTTACTTTGTGCCTCTGGGGTCCATGCTGAACTCCAGCGATCGCTCTCTGTGTCCCCCTGAAAAACAAAGAAACCACAAGCCCACAAACACACGCGTGCACACACACACACACACACACACACACACACACACCCACTCACACATTAAGGGCTGGTGTGTTTAGATTTTGCCAAACAACTCCAAAATTACAATTGTGAGCCATAAATGTGAATGCTGATAGTACCGCGGTTGTTTTTTTGTTTGTTTTAGGGAAACGTGCATGACAATCTCCATCAAAACAAGTCTTTTTGTTTTGATGACTGTAGCTGTATTCCAATATCCAGTTACATTTTCTTTTTTCTTTTCTGCAAGTCATTCTATCTGTCCTTTTGCTTCTTTGTTCCGTTTGCTCTTTTAAATCTTTAATGTGAATTGTTTTGTTTTATGGGCCAACAAAGAACCACTTAAGGTGGCAAAGTATAATACAGTATTTTCTTCTGTCAAATATTTGTTTCCTTTACCAAAGATTAAGTTTGGAAAAAGAGTTCAGTGTATTTGAGGATTGTTTTTTTTTTTTGTTAATGTTGATATGCAGTATACTTTATGGTATTCAGTGTACTCTCTCTTTTTAGATAGATAGTTATCAAATATATATATTAATGTGTTATTTTTTGATTTGAGACCATCCACATTTCAATGCATTAATGTGAATTCAAAGGACCTAAATAAAGAGACATCACAGTTGCTTCCAATGTTAACTCTTGTGGAAGGTACAGTAGCTGAATTTGAACAAAATGCACAAAATGGCCAAATGTAATTTAAGGTCCAGTCACACCAAGGATGATTAAAAAGTAAAAAAATAAATAAATCACTTAAACTTGAAGACAATAGTGAATCCACATCATTTGTACTACTATAATACCATTGACAAAGCAACAATATCGTTGAAAACACTTTCCAACTGGTGTTTTTATTGTTAACTAAAAAGTCATTTTCTTAAATACAGCTGAAACATAAATAATAGATGAAAAACTTGGCAAGGAATTGAAAAAAAAAAATACCTAAAAATACTGCATTGGCTGCTAATTGAGATAAGATTAAGTTTAATTAATAAATGTGCTAAAAATAAATTAAAGATAAATATATTAAAATGAAAAGTGAAAATATAAGAAATAAAAGCTAATTCTAAATAATAGTATTAATAAATACTATAATGGTAAATAAAAATGCAATGACACTGACAGCCAATCAAAATCCTTCCTTCTTTAAGGCATGCACTGAAATTATATTCACAGACCATAACTGAAGTGTGCTCTTAGAATAAACAACATTGTCGTCTGCTGGAGTGGATACTTATATAGTTATCATTGTCGTTAGAATTTCATCATTTCATTCTTCGTGTAAATGGGCCTTTAATCTAGTCTGGTTTGTAGTTACTGTTCTAATTTATCCTGTGTCTGAAGTTAAATAGCACTAGATTATGGACTGTGCCATTGCCCCATGGACTCCACGGTCTCTTTTGGCTCGAAATTGGCACCCAGATGCTATTTTTTTTTTGCATTAAATTTCAGCCAATCAAAAAAACTAAAACACATTTATTGATTGATTGATTGCCAATTTGGCTGTTGAACTTTAAAGCAGGATGAAGGGGTCCTGTAGTACCAGAACCCAACAGTGAGTTGAAGTATAGCACAATTAAGTTGCCACCACAGACTCTATAAACTATTGTTTTATGGACCTGCATGGCTTTGTGCACAGGGCAATTGTAATGCTGGACCAGAAAATGCCTCAATTTACTTAAAATGTTTGTCTAACCTATTAGTAATGTATGTAGCTTATATAGACAAACCTATTAATTAAAAATATGGGGGGTTTATTTTTTTGGACGTGGAGTATGAACAATGGACCTTCCTAAAGTGTTTTGTCTATTGCTACAGAGTAAACCTTAACCAATGCATCAATTAAAAAAATCAAATAAAACAATTTGGAGCACAATATGTCCCTTTTGTGCAGGAAAAGTGATTTTTCCTTATATGGGTGTCTGTACCTTATAGGGAGAGGTGGTGGTAAAGCCTGTCAGTGGTGAACAAACACTTGCAATCAAGTTCCAGTCCCAAGGTCATGCTGGATGTCAGTGTCTAATGCTTAGGGAATGAGGCGACAGGGGTCTTCCCCACTCTGTCACCTCCTGGAACAAATTAATTCCTCACACTCCTGCAGCTTCTCTTTCAGTAAACACTTTAAATCAAAAGTAGACAGTGAAACTCACACTGGAGGGGCCACAATCATTGACTTTAGCCTTTTGCTACTGGGATGATAGACGGTGCTCAACTGGTTATGAATACCCTGTGAAGGATATATAGTGTATGTTTTTACTTATTGGTAGTCAGAACAGATATGCATGTCGGTGTTGATGAAAGATTTTAGAGCTTGTCTAGCTAGGGCAATGAAGGTTAAAGGGAAATCCGATGCGCCCAGACCTTAGATTAAGAGAAGACCTTGAGGCTATTTACCGCTATAGTCTTAAAAAATATAGGGCCATGTCCAAAAAAGAGCCGCGAGCTTGACCCAGCAAGCATGAATCAATGGTGACAGTGTGGCCTTACAACGAATACAGGCAATTCACCCCCAATTCAGAAGGGGGCGCCCGCAGCAATGCAACGCTGTTTGATAACCGGCCGCCAGCAGAAGAACAGCGAATGCCATGAGTTGCGCACTTGAAAACAAAGCCCACTAGACAGTGACCATGTGCTGATTCTGAATAGGTCTCTCACAGACTGACAAAGGAGTATACTTTAAAGCAGGGGTGCCCAAACTCGGTCCTGGAGGGCCGATGTCCTGCAGAGTTTAGATCCAACCCCAATTAGACACACCTGAACCAGCTAGTCAGAATCAGAATCAGAATCAGAAGAGCTTTATTACCAAGTATGTTTACACACACAAGGAATTTGACTTGACGACAGGAGCTTCCAGTGTAGAAGAAAGTACAAACATAGTGCAGCCATACATGATAGTGCAGACATACTAGGAATAACACAGTAGGGATGTAATATAACACTAATATAATAAAAAAAAGAAAAATTGAATAATAATGTACTATATACAGAAATAGAAGTATAGGAAAAATGTTAATTGTTTAGATAAATGTACAGATATGTTTATTAGTGTGCAGATATGTTATTTACATAAGTGTGCAGTTTAATATAAATATAACTATGTTAGTTGTGGTGGATGATGTATAATTATGAAAGATTAATTGTTCAGACTGAATATAGCCTGTGGGAAAAAACTGTTCTTGTGCCTTACTGTTCTGGTGGTCAGTGCTCTGTAGCACCGACCAGAAGGCAACAGTTCGAAGAGAGAGTGGGCTGTCTTCTATGCATACTAGAAACTTCCCGGCAGGTGTGTTGAGGCAAGTTGGAGCTAAACTCTGCAGGACACCGGCCCTCCAGGACCGAGTTTGGGCACCCCTGCTTTAAAAGCTTGTGCACTCAACTGTTTACGAAATGGAGCTTTGTGCTCGTGTATCCTACCTCTCTCATTCGGCACAAATCCAAATATTCCATAATATTTCCATATTTGTGATGTAACGTATCTGAATGCTAAACTATTATTTATGAAAAATTATAGGCTTTGTACTTCAGTCGCGTTCCAACGGCGATACAGAGGCAGGCGCGCTGATGTTTGGTTCACTGTATTTTATTTTGATAAAGTACCAACTGCACTGTCAAGTTAGCAATGCTGGAAATTATGTGTGTGTGTGTGTGTGTGTGTGCGTGTGCGCCGGCGCGATCACTTCTGTTTCACATCTGTTTCCTTATACCAGCAGAATCAACTTTAAACACTTACTGTCTTATTAATAATGCATCACTGTATAAAGGTCTGCTTTTATTTGTGTACACTCACAAAGAAAACAAAACTTTGTGCTTTTGTAAAATAAAGAAAACAAATAGGATGTGCTTTCTGCCATTTGAGTTTCTTTTCTGTGAACAAAAATGACCTGAAACTCAGCATATATAGACTACGTTACGTGTCGACTGTTTTCCCTTGTTTATCTGTAAACTAAATCAAATATATTTCAATAATTTATTCCTTGTATGTATATCCTCCTGAGAACCAGAAATAAAAAGCTTTGTGAATTTAGTATTTTTTCATGTCATTACATTGTTTAGAGCATAAGAAAAAAATGGTAAAATAACATTTTTGAAAAATTATATTTTATTTATACGTTATGTTATGTGCTCTGTAGAGAATACCAGGACTCAGTTTTTCTAAAAAATAAAATGACAAGAGTAGACATGAAAAGGCAAAAATAATGGGAATTTCTTTTTAAATCACCAAATTTCTTTTTAGGTTTCAGGATTTTTTATATCTAACTTTGTTTAAGTATGGTTCTCAACTATGTTATAAAATATATAACAAAATGATTTGATGTACCATTTTGCTTTATGCAATATGTGTATAAAAATTCCATAAACTGGTTTTCCCATTAAGCACAATGTTATCTATACACTGTATCTAATTTGCATATTAAAGTGCTGTTGGGAAAGCATGTTGAAAAAAAAACTGGTTTTCCCATTAAGCACAATGTTATCTATACACTGTATCTAATTTGCATATTAAAGTGCTGTTGGGACAGCATGTTGAAAAAAGAAGTGTAATAATGGGAGTAGTAATTGGCCAGATTTTCATAATAATATCTAATATTTCATAAGAATAATGATATATAATTTGTTTTCCTATTCAATTATTTTCTCTCCCAAAATGTATAATAAACATGCTTTTAGTCCTGGTGTCCTCTACAGTGGACATGTATGAAATTATGTGCCGTTTCATAACAAGAAGTCATATTTTGATTTGAAACATTTTCCTGAGATGTTGATTTATGACAAACAATTTGAAAATTAATCAGATTTAAATTATAATTACAAAATTACAAAATATTTCCATAAGGATGTACAATTTTATCACTAAATTAATGTCAGCCATTTTTAAAAACCAAGGAGAGGGAGTGTTCTCGGGGAAACATCCAATCATTTGGTATCTCTGGAAAGCCCTGAATGTGCTCTGTACAGGCCATCCAGACTTAAAACTGTGACATGTGAGGTCTCAGAGAAATTCACTCAAATATAATGTCCACTACAGAGACAAAAACTCCATAGCTGGGTCTCAGGAGGATATACCGTATTGTCCCGAATATAAGACGATGTTTTTTTGTTGGAAATACATCTGAAAAAACGCGCTCGTCTTATATTCAGGGTCTAGACTTTGACATGTCAATAATACACCCACAACAATAGGTGGCGCCAAATACGCATAAAACGAGTGTGCCATGAAATACGTAATGTAATGCGTGTTGTAAAGATCATGAGTAAAAACAAAAGAAAAAGAAAAGCTTACAGCTGCATGAGTCGTGGCTGTCACGTTAGCCTTATGGGACCAAACTCCCTTTGTGATTTTAAAACGTAAGACAGTACCCAGATTTGAAGACTACAGTAAGATTTAACTTTTACTGTTAATAAGATTTTGGTAGGCTACTATTAGATGGATAGCCTAAATGTCCTAATTCAGATGGGCTACCTGTTTTTTTTTTTATGGTATATCAAAAAGTGTATAATTTTAAATGTGATTGTTGGTACATTTTACCAATTTTTACCATACTTTCAAAACAAAAATTAAAATAGGAAAAATATGCAATATGATAATAATTGAAGACAAAATGCGTTTTACTGAGAAAAAACAAG